GCAGCAAGCCAGTAGTGAAGGCCTCAAGCCAGTAGTGAAGGCAGCAAGCCAGTAGTGAAGGCAGCAAGCCAGTAGTGAAGGTAGCAAGCCAGTAGTGAAGGCAGCAAGCCAGTAGTGAAGGCAGAAAGCCAGTAGTGAAGGCAGCAAGCCAGTAGTGAAGGTAGCAAGCCAGTAGTGAAGGCAGCAAGCCAGTAGTGAAGGTAGCAAGCCAGTAGTGAAGGTAGCAAGCCAGTAGTGAAGGTAGCACGCCAGTAGTGAAGGCAGCAAGCCAGTAGTGAAGGCAGCAAGCCAGTAGTGAAGGTAGCAAGCCAGTAGTGAAGGCAGCAAGCCAGTAGTGAAGGTAACAAGCCAGTAGTGAAGGCAGCAAGCCAGTAGTGAAGGCAGCAAGCCAGTAGTGAAGGTAGCAAGCCAGTAGTGAAGGTAGCAAGCCAGTAGTGAAGGCAGCAAGCCAGTAGTGAAGGCAGCAAGCCAGTAGTGAAGGTAGCAAGCCAGTAGTGACACGTAGCAAGCACTGTAGTGAGGGTTATGCAGCATATAAGGTAGCACAGTGTGAAGGCAGCAAGCCAGTAGTGAAGGTAGAAGCCAGTAGTGAAGGTAGCAAGCAGTAGTGAAGGCAGCAAGCCATAGTGAAGGCAGCAAGCCAATAGTGAAGGTAGCAACCTAGTGAAGGCAGCAAGCCATGATGAAGGTAGCAAGCCAGTAGTGAAGGCAGCAAGCCAGTAGTTAAGGTAGCAAGGCAGTAGTGAAGGTAGCAAGCCAGTATGAAGTAGCAAGCCATGTATGAAGGTAGCAAGCCATGTGAAGGTAGCAAGCAGTAGTGAAGGCAGCAAGCCAGTAGTGAAGGCAGCAAGCATAGATGAAGGCACAGCCAGTATGAAGTAGCAAGCCAGTATGAGGTAGCAAGCCTTAGTGAAGGTAGCAAGCCAGTAGTGAAGGTAAGAAGCCAGTAGTGAGGTAGCAACAGTAGTGAAGGTAGCAAGCCAGTAGTGAAGGCAGCAAGCAGTAGTGAAGGTAGCAACAGTAGTGAAGGTAGCAAGCCAGTATGTGAAGGCAGCACGCCAGTAGTGAGGTAGCAAGCCAGTAGTGAAGGTAGCAAGCCAGTAGTGAGTAGCAGCCAGTGTGAAGGTAGCAAGCCAGTTGAAGGTAGCAAGCCAGTAGTGAAGGTAGCAAGCCAGTAGTAAGGTAGCAAGCCAGTAGTGAAGGTAGCAAGCCAGTAGTGAAGGTAGCAAGCCAGTAGTGAAGGCAGCAAGCCAGTAGTGAAGGCAGCAAGCCAGTAGTGAAGGCAGCAAGCCAGTAGTGAAGGTAGCAAACCGTAGTGAAGGTAGCAACCATATAAGGTAGCAAGCCATAGTGAAGGTTAGCAAGCCATAGTGAAGGTACAAGCAGTAGTGAAGGTAGCAAGCCAGTAGTGAGGTAGCAAGCCAGTTAGTGAAGGCAGAACCAGTAGTGAAGGCAGCAGCGTAGTGAAGGCAGCAAGCAGTAGTGAAGTAGCACGCAATGAAGGTAGCAAGCCAGTAGTGAAGGTAGCAAGCCAGTAGTGAAGGTAGCAAGCCAGTGCGTTAACCACTGTACAACACCTGGGTGACTTTATTGATGAATAAGACACATGTACAACACCTGGGTGACTTTATTGATGAATAAGACACATGTACAACACCTAGGTGGCTTTATTGATGAATAAGACACATGTACAACACCTAGGTGACTTTATTGATGAATAAGACACATGTACAACTCCTGGGTGTCTTTATTGATGAATAAGACACATGTACAACACCTGGGTGACTTTATTGATGAATAGACACATGTACAACACCTAGGTAACTTTATTGATGAATAAGACACATGTACAACACCTGGGTGTCTTTATTGATGAATAAGACACATGTACAACACCTGGGTGACTTTATTGATGAATAAGACACATGTACAACACCTGGGTGTCTTTATTGATGAATAAGACACATGTACAACACCTGGGTGACTTTATTGATGAATAAGACACATGTACAACACCTGGGTGACTTTATTGATGAATAAGACACATGTACAACACCTGGGTGACTTTATTGATGAATAAGACACATGTACAACACCTGGTGACTTTATTGATGAATAAGACACATGTACAACACCTGGGTGACTTTATTGATGAATAAGACACATGTACAACACCTGGGTGACTTTATTGTGAATAAGACACATGTACAACACCTGGGTGACTTTATTGATGAATAAGACACATGTACAACATCTGGGTGCTTTATTGATGAATAAGACACATGTACAACACCTGGTGAAATTTATTGATGAATAAGACTCATGTACAACACCTGGGTGACTTATTGATGAATAAGACTCATGTACAACCTGGGTGACTTTATGATGAATAAGACACATTGTACACACTAGGTGACTTTATTGATGAATAAGATCATGTACAACACTGGTGACTTATTGATGATAAGACTCATGTACAACACCTGGGTGACTTTATTGTGAATAAGACCATGTACAACAGCCTGGGTGTCTTTATTGATGAATAAGACACATGTACAACACCTGGGTGACTTTATTGATGAATAAGCACATGTACAACACCTGGTGTCTTTATGATGAATAAGACACATGTACAACACCTGGGTGACTTTATTGATGAATAAGACACATGTACACACCTGGGTGACTTATATGAATAAGACACAGTACAACACCTGGGTGACTTTAGATGAATAAGACACATGTACAACACTAGATGACTTATTGAGAATAGCTCATGTACAACACCTGGGTGACTTTATTGATGAATAAGACATGTACACACTAGATGACTTTATTGATGAATAAGACTCATGTACAACACCTGGGTGACTTTATTGATGAATAAGACACATGTACAACACCTGGGTGACTTTATTGATGAATAAGACACATGTACAACACCTGGGTGTCTTTATTGATGAATAAGACACATGTACAACACCTGGGTGTCTTTGTTGATGAATAAGACACATGTACAACACCTGAGTGACTTTATTGATGAATAAAGCACATGTGCCTAGTCATTGTATAGTGCCTAGAGTCATTGTATAGTGCCTAGAGTCATTGTGAAGTGCCTAGAGTCATTGTATAGTGCCTAGAGTCATTGTATAGTGCCTAGAGTCATTGTATAGTGCCTAGAGTCATTGTATAGTGCCTAGAGTCATTGTATAGTGCCTAGAGTCATTGTATAGTGCCTAGAGTCATTGTGAAGTGCCTAGAGTCATTGTATAGTGCCTAGAGTCATTGTATAGTGCCTAGAGTCATTGTATAGTGCCTAGAGTCATTGTATAGTGCCTAGAGTCATTGTGAAGTGCCTAGAGTCATTGTATAGTGCCTAGAGTCATTGTATAGTGCCTAGAGTCATTGTATAGTGCCTAGAGTCATTGTGAAGTGCCTAGAGTCTTTGTGTAGTGCCTAGAGTCATTGTATAGTGCCTAGAGTCATTGTATAGTGCCTAGAGTCATTGTATCGTGTCTAGAGTTATTATATAGTGCCTAGAGTCATTGTATAGTGCCTAGAGTCATTGTGAAGTGCCTAGAGTCATTGTATAGTGCCTAGAGTCATTGTATAGTGCCTAGAGTCATTGTATAGTGCCTAGAGTCATTGTATAGTGCCTAGAGTCATTGTGAAGTGCCTAGAGTCATTGTATAGTGCCTAGAGTCATTGTATAGTCCCTAGAGTCATTGTATAGTGCCTAGATTCATTGTATAGTGCCTAGAGTCATTGTATAGTGCCTAGAGTCATTGTGAAGTGCCTAGAGTCATTGTGTAGTGCCTAGAGTCATTGTATAGTGCCTAGAGTCATTGTATAGTGCCTAGAGTCATTGTATAGTGCCTAGAGTCATTGTATCGTGTCTAGAGTTATTATATAGTGCCTAGAGTCATTGTATAGTGCCTAGTGTCACTGTATAGTGCCTAGAGTCACTGTGCAGTGCCTAGAATCACTGTATGGTGTCTAGAGTCACTGTACAATGCCTAGAGTCACTGTATAGTGCCTAGAGTCATTGTATAGTGCCTAGAGTCTTTGTACAGTGCCTAGAGTCCTTGTATAGGGCCGCGGGGGCGTTGACCCCCGGAACTCTCTCCAGATAAACTCCAGAAATAATAATAATTAATATACCTCTTCATGGTAGACTCAGTTATTTTCTTCTCTGGACTCGGTCATGATCTGTCTCCCGTGCAGAGTGACTTGTAAATACTTAACTTCCTCTGAGATACATTGCAGCACTCAGCAAAAATCTCTCACGGTTTCCAAGGCTTGTGTCACAAATTTCCACACCCTCTGAGCCACCGTCATGGTCACCTTCTTGTCTCTGCTGTGTCCCTCTGTCACCCAGCCGCATGTCTATGTCTTGCAAATCTGATTCTTAGAGTATATAAGATAGTCTTTTAACCGGGTTCATTCTCAGCCAAGACAGACATTTTGTATAGTACAAGTTTTCTTCGCTAACTGCTAACTTAATTAAAATTACTCTCGGTAAGTAACCTCAGAAATAATTGATTATTAATGTAATAATTAGGTAATGTAGCTGTATTAATATGGATGTATTTGAGAGTTGTGAGGCATAAGCATGAGTGTTGGGAGGCCAGTTGGACGGATCACTCGCCACCCCTGTAATAAATGACTTACTAGGGGCACCTCTTAATATATTTAGCATTTCTAACTTACCCCAGACGGACCTTGGGTGTGACTGGACTCTGTGTATCAAATTGATGTTCAACCTATTACTGGTTTGTATTATAGAAAAGGTAAATGTTCTTCCAGTCTTATTTTCAATGCTTTTCTACCAACCTTTCTTTGTTATTGTAACCTCCTTTCACCTTGGGTCAGAAGGGTGAAAATTTCCGGCCTGGTGTCCTTCCAAAAAAGTAGTAATGTGAAGTCTGGCCATACTGAGTGTGCTGGCTAGCGCCTACCATTCGATACTTCATTGATGGCGCTGTTGCATGTTGTTATAGGTGATAAAAATATAGATGAGGAAGGGTCAGTAGAGTTGGAACAAATGAGGGCGCGTCTAGTGGAGACACAGAATGAACTGGATCGTGTGAGGGACACACTGCGCCAGCGGGAGGACGACTGTGAGAAACTCCGCCAGGTAAGTCATGTTTTGTGTTGCTCTTTGAGGTGGCGGGTCGGGCTGCACCAGTCTCCGTGCCTGACTCAAAATTTCAAAAAAGAATTATTCTTTTATAATAATCTGGGATATGTTAAATGTAGCCGGTTTTGTTGGTGTTTATGAGAGAGGTGAGCGATTCTCACCTCGGGATCGAGTGTACCCTCTGAGATGCCCGGCCTTGCCACCTTCGGTCCGTCATCCTCAGCAGCCTCTCGGGCAGCGAGTCCGCCCCCGCCAGCCTGGTCACCCCCACCTGCGCCACCACCCACGCCCACCTCCGTTTCAAACCCACCTCACACGCACCTCCATGACACGACCTCCAGGTCGTAGGACGTGAGGTTCAGAGCGAGAAATGATAAAACGACTCTTGTCCTAAGTGAAAACAAAACCACACGTTATGAAACACGCCTTCATTGGTTCAGTCTTTCACTTAGTACTGATGAAGCTCTCTGAGTGAAATGCTGCTCTGATAAAGACTCATTCCATGACTTGTGTATATTTGTCTTCATCAGCCATAGTAACCACCCTATTCGACATTTTTAACTGGGCAAAAAATTAAGTAATCATTCATTGTCAATAAATGTAGCTTTCCTAACTCACGAGTAGTGCAGTTATGCATTTATTTTATGTCATTGTTTATTTACCATCTTAAATATTATGCTGCTCTAACGAATGCTCTGCTTGCAAATGAACCAGTTATCTGACTCCAAGTTACCTGACTCACAGACTGTAGGCACCGATGCCACGTTCATGGTGAGGGATGCCAAGTGCCCGGGTATAGGTAGACTCCTGCCCGGGGTAGAGTGCACTGTACCCGAGTATAACTGACCTAGTTGAAGAATTAATCTAGCTGAGATTTAGAGGTTGGTAGCAAAGGTAAGCGGCCACAAGCACCTGGAAGCCGACAGGATTTGTCCACCTTGTGTGGCTGATACACCAGGTTCCAGACAAGTGTGGAAATACGGGTTACTGAATAAGCATTTTTTGGAAAGACGACTCACTTTGAGTGGAGTTTTCATCGTTCTATGACACTGATAAAGATTTTTCTGGTGTAAAACTCCGATTCACTAAAAGTTCGTTCCGAAGATGATGGCAACTTTTCGAAGCTGTGACTTGAGAACGTCTCGGAGCGGATCATTCTTCCGATTCAAACTCGTTCAGTAAAGATGCGGAACTTGATCAAGTCGTGACTTGAAGAACCTCTATTGGAAGCTGATCGTTCTGCTGATACTCGCTTGTTCTTCATCAAGTCATAACTTGAAGAACCTCTACATGGAACTGATAGTTCTTCCAAAATTTGCTTGTTCAGCACCACAGCCGTCTGCCTCAGCTGCTTGTGGTTCAGCGACCGCAACCCTAGAGTAGAACGTAGAATTTACTCAGTAGCTGGAAAACATCTGCCGGGCCAAGCAATATCCGAAGGTGGGCGCTTGAACCTGATGGCCAAGTCTGCTTGGCTCAAACAAATGAACTAAGGTCAAGGGTGCTGTGTGACCTTTCTGCGTTTTGTGCTTTCCAATGAATATTCTACGTAATTATGACTTCTACTATTATCATTATTGTTGCTACTGCTACTACTACTGCAGCTACTATTACTACTACAACTGTTACTACTACTACAGTTACTACGACTACTGTTATTACTACTACTGTTACTACTACTACTGCAATTACTACTACTACTACTGCAATTACTTCTACTACTACGGCAATTACTACTACTACTACTATGACCACTACTGCTGCAGCTACTACTACTACTACTACAACTAGTACTACTATTACTACTACTACTATTACTACTACTGCTGCTGTTATTAATACCACTACTGCTACTACTACCATTACTGCTACTGTTACTGCTACTATTTCTACAGTTGCTAGTACAACTACTATTACTACTTCTACTATTACCAACATTACAACTACTACCACCATTGTTACTACTACCACAACTACTACTACCACTACTACTGCTACTATTACTACTACCACTACTACTGCTACTATTGCTACTAATGCTACTATTACTACTACCACCACTACTACTGCTACTATTACTACTACCACCACTATTACTACTACCACCACTACTACTGCTACTATTACTACTACCACTATTGCTACTACTTCTACTATTACTACTACCACCACTACTACTGCTACTATTACTATTACCACCACTACTGCTACTATTACTACTACCACCGCTACTACTGCTACTATTGCTACTACTGCTACTATTACTACTACCACCACTACTACTGCTACTATTACTACTACCACCACTACTACTGCTACTATTACTACTACCACACTACTACTGCTACTATTACTACTACCACCACTACTACTGCTACTATTACTACTACCACCACTACTACTGCTACTATTACTACTACCACCGCTACTACTGCTACTATTACTACTACACCACTACTATTGCCACTGTTTTCTACTACCACCACTACTACTGCTA